CTGGCATTTTATACCAGCTAGATCTCTTCATTTCGGCGGACTGTGAGAAGCTGGGGTAAAAAGTTTAAAATACCATCTTCGTAGGGTGTTACGCGAGACAAAATTATGTTACAATTCAATGTATACATTATTAACACAAGTCGAAGCAATTTTAAATTCTCGTCCGTTAACTCCCTTATCCTCAATCCACTAACCCCTGCACATTTCCTGATCGGCAGATCATTAACATCACTTCCAGAAAATTTACTTTCCCACATCCCAGAAAACAGACTAACAAAACTCCTCCAGCATCTTGAAAAACTAAGGCAGCATTTTTGGACAAGATGGCACAAGGAATATCTAGGAGAATTACAATCACGGACCAAATGGAGAAGACCAATGGAACAAGATAATCTTATAGGCAAACTGGTGCTTATAAAGGATGACAATCTACCGCCATTAAAATGGCGTCTTGGACGGATCACAGATATACACCCAGGCAATGATGGTGTCGTACGGGTTGTTACGCTGAAGGGCCCCAATGGAGAATTTAAAAAGGGCACTAAACAAAGTGTGCATTCTACAATCAATAATGAAATATCTTAAGTTTTATATAATATTAAGAAATATAAGTTAAATAATTTTAGATTAGATTGTCATACAAATCACTATTACATTGTTAATCAATTTTATACTCGTAAAATCTTTATACAATTTCTATACTTATTGTTAGTTCAAATTCGCTATGTTTATATTTTTAAAAGCTGTAGGTTTTCAAGGCGGGCGGCATGTTCGGACGTCTTTTCGTTTTATTATATTGGCCATGGAGGAGACAAACTTCTAGGCAGTAAGCTTTACACGGAATGGTTGCTACCCCTGGTAGAGGGGGTAGCGGAGGTTTTAAATGAACTAGTGTTCATTCTAAATTAAACTTAACAAATGTAACTAACCTATAAACATAAATATATATCTTCTTTCATTAATACTTAGTGACAAATCAGTGATTGTAATTAGAACTGCAACAAATACATAGTATACAAATAAATCAGTGTTTAATACAGTCCACAGCTACAAGGGTTAATTATAACCAACAACCTGAGTATCGAAGGATATTTTTATAAATTCTATAAATAAGCAAAAATACAATACAAAATTCGGGTACGTTGCATCAGGAAGCATCTGTTTAAACATTCCGAAATCTTTTACGCTTTGCAATTATTCAAATTTACAAAATCAGGTAGAAATGTTTTGGGATTTGGAGGCATGCGATAATATACAACATCTAACTGAAGAACAAATACAATGTGAAAAACAATTTTTTCCAAGACGACGAGGTCAACTAACGGGCGATTTATCGTAAAGATACCTTTTACTACCAAAATTAAAGACCTGGGATGCAATAAACATATAGCATTAAAACGATTTAAATCCCTCGAACATCGTCTACGGTCAAACAAAGAATTAGCTATAGAATATAATAAGTTCATGAACGAATATGTAGAATTCGGGCATATGAGTGAAGTAAATGAATCAAATGAACCGAAAACATGTTTTTATTTACCACATCATGGTGTTTTAAAGCTAAGCAGTTTAACAACTAAATTACGCGTTGTCTTTGACACATCGTGCAAATCTGATGATAACGGCCTTTCATTCAATGAACTACAACTTGTCGGACCTACTATACAAAACGACATATTCTCTATATTATTAAAATTTAGAAAACACAAATTGTTCTTACTGCCGATACAAAGAAGATGTATCGACAAGTTCTGGTTCATGAAAATGATAAAAAATGCAGCGAATATCTTGGCGGAATAACTCACATAAAAATTTATGACCTAAATACTGTTACATACGGAACTGAATCTGCACCGTTTTTAGCAATCAGATGTTTAGAACAATTAGCCAAAGAAAATGTAATTCAATATCCAGAAGAATGCGATATTATTCGAAATGATTTTTACATAGACGACTTATTGACTGAACATAGGCGATCAAACTGTCAAAACTTTAGGTATATCGTGGAACGCATTAACTGACTGTTTTAATTTCCAATACGGATAATATAACGTTAAGACAAACAATAAATAAAAGGTCTATTTGGCAGCAACAGCACAAATATTTATATACAAAACTCCCTCTACTCTATAATAAAATAATTTCCTATCCTATCTAGGTACTAAGATAGTTTTTAAAAAATCCT